TTAACTCGTGTCAGGGAAAGGTTTAATTAGTTTAGTTAATAAAATTTTGTTTTTTTGTGTTTAATTTCACAGTTTTCGCCTGCGTAGTTTAGATATTCTGTTGGATTCAGAGTTACACTGTTAAATATTTTATACAAAATTGTGAAAAAGTTTACGAATTTTTGTCCGTAGAACTTACTGTCTTCTTTATATTTTACATTAATCACTTAAAACAACCTGCGTTTCACAAATCGACGCTAATCCTTTGAGCAACTGAAAGACATCCAGGTGCGGAACGTGGAATGAGTCTTGTGTCACTTTTGTTCGCGCGGTGGCTAGACTACCTGTGTAGAGGGGCGGGAAACGTGTAACACGGAGCGGACAGCTGCACTCTGAAGCCAGGACATGGGTCACGTGACCTGGCTTTCAAAATAAGAGCCCGAAAACCTTGTTTGTCGTATACGATAAAGAAAACTATTCACGTGTTTCACAATTAGTACAAATGAGGACACAGGAACAGCATACAAAATTTTGGCTGGGAAGACCCTTGAGAAGAGATCACCTGGGAAAGCTATGATGCAGACTCGATGATGTTAGAAATACGTTGTGTAGATTTGACTGCAGTAAACTGGGTCGTTTTAGGGTACAGTGGCAGTCAATTGCCCAAGGAACAGCAAGTGTCATGAATATGACGTCATTTATTCATTAGCCAAATTTTCTTATGAGAGTGAATAGGTTGATATCGGAACGGTGTTCGCGGGCGTGTTCTTCACTTTTCTGCATCTCAATTCATAGTTCTTGTCACTCCTACCTTGAAAATGGAGGCTGTAGTTTTCCCAAAGATTCCGGACTCCTTTTCCAATAATGCGTGGCTTTACAAAGCTTGAACCTGGAGAGTACTTTGATAGACAGAGAAGTTAATGGATTCATACTCCATAAATGTATTCAATACTGTATTCTCTGTGGGTTGTATGTAAACAACCGTGTAAACGGTAGTGTTATAATTGTGACACGAATTAAATATTTTGTCGTGTTTCAGACACTTTCAGTGCGCTAACCATGAGATCAGGGTCTAGGTTTGTGCTGTTTCGGAACATTGTTTTAGTTGCGCCAGGCTTCTAAAATGTCACAGAGCACTCCATAGCTTTGAGCTCACTGTTTGTCAAGCCAACTGCAATATGTCGACGCTCATAAACAATTCATAGACGCCTAACTATCAAGTTACAGCCATTAGCTCCAGCCGAGAAGTTGCTAATTCAACTTCGCCTAAGTACAAGTAGCCTACCCTTTTATTTCCTGTGGACACGCAGCGAAAACTGGGAAGGACACAAAACATCTGAATATCTATCTGAGGGACTTAACTTCGGAGCTCCGAAACAAGACTTCACACAATCGTGCACTGGGGATAGACGTACAACGTAACACGCAGATCGCATGCCTTCTGCCAGAAACAATGCTGTCGTGTGACAATAGATCGCTCACTGGAATACGAACAGAAATATTCCGACGTCAGGTAAAACAAGCATAAACTGAACACAGGGACTGAAGGAGAGGAAAAGGAGTTAGAAAGGATAGTACGAGTAGAAGAGGGGAAAAGAATATAATTTTGTTAGGATGTGCCCAGGATATACCCGCTTGTTTTTATGATAAGGGTAGAATGAAAGTGAAGATTTTATTGTGATAAGGAGTAGAATATTAAAGCAGAGACAGAAGAATTTTGATTTTTTGATGCTGAAATAATATCGACAGGCCTCAAGAAAATGCCATTTAGGAGATCTGAGTATAGGCGGGAAGATAATACTGATATTATACTTAGAGAATTAGATTACAAAGTTTCAACTGGGTCAGGACAGAGTCCATTGGCAGAATTAATATGATCCTCGATTTTTCGAGTCTGTAGATTTGTGGAATGTATGGTGAAACCAAAAAAAGGCCACTCGCTAGCCGCATTTGACGCTCTGACATGGTAGTAGAACGAACAGTCTGTGCAGTTACCCCGAAAACAAAAGCGATAGTCTATTAACTACGAAGCCAGTGTATATTAGATAATGATGTCTGTTTCATTTTGTTGAATTTGTATGGTAGCGTATATTGCGACTGATCTAGAATATCCTAATTAACCAACTCCTGCAGGCAATGATGGCGAAACAAAGATATTTATTAACTTGAATACGTAAATAATGAGTTTAGATTTTGTGTTCTGATTAAATTTGTGGGTTATAGGGATACCTTTTGTTTCCGTTTTCAGTCATTTTTATGTCTCTTCAACTCATCTGCTACAGTATAATACTCGCACATAATTCAGGTTGAACTCAGATTAAGTGACATAAACGTATTTATATGCCTGTGTAATAAAATTAATCTGGAATTGTGCAGGAAGCCAAAGTTCACAGTGGACTGTAGAGCTTGAGAAGAAGAAGAAGAAGAAGAATAAAATTAATCTAGAACTGCTAGAACATGTAATCACCGCAGTATATAGGTCATAGTACAACTTAGAGCATTGCAAGGGATTGGTGTTTCTTTGGCATACTGTACCACTACGTCTCTTACCACTGCGAAGGTTATTGTGTAACCATGTAGCCTAATTAGAGGCAGTTTTACATGTGCCTGTCTTATTGCACGTTGATGCAAGCTATCATGAGCACAGACTAGTTAGTGTTTAACCATGTTCTGTAATGTTGGACAGCTGTCGACGATAATATTGCAATTATACAAGACAGTTTTTCCGTCTGGAGTCATGAGTTTGATTCCCGCTCAGAGCATGGATGTTAGTGCATGCATTCATTTTGTTATGGTCCAAGGATTCGATTCTTTCCCATTTTCGAAATATGACTCTTGGTAGACATATGAAAACAAACGACCGTAGCCTGTTTCAAGTTACCGTTTCACTTGTTTTTGGAGCGACTGATAAAAAGTGCAGGAAATGTTAATTATGACAGATGGTCTCCGGGTCGAGATTCGAACCTCGATCCTCCCTAATACGAACTCCAGTGCCAAGAAGTCCTACTACTTGTCTTCATAAGGATTTAGAAAGTCTATTTGCTTGCAGTAGAAGAGATCAAGGCTTGAATCTCGCTGTGGAATCAATACGAATCTCCTGAACTGATGGTAGAGGCCTTGTAATGGTCTGATCTCCCATCGAAAGAGTCTTGCCACTTGACTTCACAAGCTGGAATCATACCGTAATACGAAAAATGAGAGAAGGAATGAACTTATGATTTTCTTTTCCTTACTTAGATCCAGATGTCTTGGTTTAAGTCTTCTGACTGGAAAAAATAGTAAACACTTGCTCGACAGCTTTGTTACGCATGAGAGACTAGCTTAAAATTACACAGCTGGGTAACATAATACACCTATGTTATTGGTAAATCATATAGAATGTCCCGGAAAATGTATATACACTTTTAATGAAATAAAGACATTTTAATGAACTAAACCATTAAATACGTTAGTATTTGCACGTAGTGAATTAGGGAATCTAGTGTAGGTATTCAAAATGATCACCGCGATTAGCAACTGACTGACAGGCAGCCATCAGAGTTGCTGCTGAGTATACATATTTTTGGGACAACCTGTAGTTCTAGAGTTATTCTAAATTTTGCGCCGTGACGTTTGTCATTTTGGTGTAAGATGACTTGTTGAAACAGCGCGGCTTGTGTGCTTAAAACATGTTTTCAGAAGTAGCTGATACAGTTTTACAGTCGCAGTTTATCATCATTGGCATCCTAATATTTGAGATCAGTTCACTGAGACAGAAATTCAGTGAATACATCGGACGAAAGTCAATAACACTAATTTCTTCTATAAACATTTTTTGTGCTTTGGAAAACAAGTGTAGTTTAAATGACATAACAGGTTTGTGTGTGAACTTACGCAGACGTAATAGCACAGAGTTAGTCGATATGATTCATTTTCGTTTTCGTATTTTAAAACTATTACGAAGAAATTAACTTGTATACTACATTTTTGAACTTTGTTATTTGAATGTGTTTCTGCTTTGCTGTTAATAGGATGGTGCTGCTGTTACTGTGTTACATTGTTTTTCTGTTGTTCATGATAAAATGCACATTCTCTAATCTTTATTGGTAAACAGTAGCAGTTCTTGAGAAGACTGGAAGTATTCCCGTGTGGTTATATCCGAGGCCTTACACTGGCCGTAATCCACAACGTGATATTTGAAAAATGCTGAAAAGGGAAACAAACTGAACATTAAGTGCCATCTAGTATCAGTTATGTGAAACTAAATCTACACAATCGATGTTCAGGTCAAAACTTTACTGTTCTACCATCTATGAGCCTACCATAAAGGTTGCTCCTACTTATCAACATTCATTCCTCTTACTTTTATTATTCTGTTAGGTAGGAATATTTGTTTAATGTTGATTTTAGAGTGACATATTTTCTTTAAACAGTTTAACAAAGTGATTTGGATGAGTGAACACATAGATATTTAAAACATTTAATAGGATGATTAGCCTGGTTTGGAGAGATGAACAGGGGATGTAGCATGTGGAGGTACTTATTATTGACGTACAACTCATACCATGGCCTTGCCCACCACAACAAACACCCTGAAGTTGATGCATAAGTGTGCCAGTGTGTTCCAGTTCAGGTTTTTATAATTTACAATTACAGTATTCTGTATAATGTTCTGATATATGACCCACCAGGAAACAGTTATCCTAGGGTCCCGGGTTCGATTCCCGGCGGTTCCCGAATTTATAACTTGTGTTGGGCAAGGCCGTGGTCTAGACAACACGAAGTTTTCCTCCGGGGTTTCCCCGGTTTCTCCTTGGCATCCCAACAATTACTCCATACTCCATACACACAGAAGAAGGCAATGGCAAACCACTTCTGTATCACCTGCCTAAAAACATATATGAACAGGTCCCAGTCTGAGAAAAGGATGGAAGGATCCTGTTCATAAAATGTCGCCAAACTCCTGTAAAGGAGACGGCGTAATAAAGAAGAAGGAAACAGTTAGGATTTCACTGAAGATTAAATGTATTCCCTTCAAATCATATGTTAAGGCTGTATCTCCCTTCTACCAACTTTATTTATAGAAATATTTTTACATTTTTACACATACTTAATAATATTTGCTTCCACATGAATTGTTTTGTAAAGGAGACATCTTATAATATTTATCTATCTCCTAATGACCGTAAATACACAGTGGTTTAGGTAAGGACATACAGATGGAGGGATAGTTGAAGGACAGGAAACAAAACAAAATGTTAAACGTTACTGAGATGAGCTTCTGCTTCAAAGGGTTAGAAGAAATTCAGAAATAATTGTTACTTGTACACACATTATCATGTTCTACTCAGATAAGATTTGTGGACACGTCTTCAGCACCCAATAGAACTGGGCTAGGAATCTCCCCAAAAATAACTGTTTTATAATTTTCACACAATATCCTCTTGAGGATACTGGCATGTTCAATATCTTGAGTCTCGCACACAACTTTGACCTACGAAATAAACAAATGAATCAATGTAACACGCTAAATTGTTAAACGCTAAGCAAGTCATTACTTAGGAATGTATAGAAGGAAAGTTATGAAGCAAAATAAGTCAAGCAACTGTGTGAGAGGCTATTAAAGGAGATTGGTCTGCAGAGTAAACTGACAAATAAATAATTACATGAAGATTTCTGTCTTCTGGGTTGTCGCGTTGTGTAGTCTGGTCGATGTTAACCAACGTTTCAGAGCTCATATTGCCTCCATCATCCGTGATGACGAAGGCAACAACCCAGAAGACAGAAATCTTCATACTCACCGCTGTTAAAACCTCAAATCTTACAAGTAATTACATGTTTGTGTCCTTTGCCAGAAAACAGAATATATTGTATTGTAAGGATACTTAATAAATTATTTGAGAATGCGGCAAAGTTCGAACATTTGGGAATGAAATAACATATTGTAACATACCAAATTTTATCCATGATGACGTTAAAAGGAGATTCTTCTAGGGAAATGTTTGCTACAATTCAGATTAATTTTTTTTATGTTCCCATGTCAAATCTAAAAGCCTAAACATTAACAAATACAAAATTACTTTTACATTTTCTTTCATACAGATGGCAACTTATTCTTTTTTTAAACATTCTAATTTTTTCGACAGAATTTTAAAATTAATTTTTAATTTTTGTTTAAACCAGATAGAACCCAGTTAATTCAGTGCTAGACAATCAGGAGTCTACTGTATTTACAGGTGAAGTCCTGAGAAAAAATATTTGAATCTCAGAAAGAGGAAATAACGGGAGGATGGAGATACATTGAACAGCTTCATAATTCACGTGCTACATCTAATACTGTTGGATGATTAAATTGAGAATATTACTATGGGCAGGACATGTAGCACACAGAGAAGAAATGATAAATATACTATACAAGAATTAATTTATGCAGGCACTTCGGAGATCTAAATATAAATGAGGGTATAATATTAAAATGTATTTTATAAGAAAGAGGATGTGAAGGGGTGAACTACCAGGCTGCACTGCACTATTTTTATTTAGTGTTCTGTCTGACGACAGGTCCATATGAACAGGATCCTTCCATCCTTTTCTCGGACTGAGACCTGTTCATATACGTTCTTGGCAGATGATCCAGAAGTGGTTTGCCATTGCCTTCTTCTGTGTGTGAATGGAGTAATTGTTGGGATGCCACGGAGAAACCGGGGAAGCCCCCGGAGGAAACCTCCGTGTTGCCTATACCACGGCCTTGCCCAACACAAGTTATAAATTCGGGCACCGCCGGGAATCGAACCCGAGACCCCAGGATTACAAGGCCAGCGTTCTAACCGCTAGACCACTATAACCCCATAATTTCTGAATATAGTATGATTTCATGAGTAAATGTGAGAGTTGTTCCTTTTCTTCATTAATCAGTGTATGTAAGTGTAAATTAATATTGGTCTTTGAATAATGCTTTAATAGTCCAGAATAGCATATTTAGGTAAAAAAATTAAAAACCGCAATAGAAGCAGCAGGGAAGCAGTAGTTTACAATTGAATAAACTTTATACATAGATTACACTTACCTCAACACTGAAAATGTCCGACTGTATCCACGCCCTTTCGTGCATAATGTCTTTGATAGAAACTCCAATTGAAGCCATAAGTCGGCATAGCTCTGCAATGCCACCAGGTCGATCACTTACAGTAACTGAGAACTTCAGAAGACGTCCATCACATGCTAGACCTCTGTCCAGACACCGGCCAAGGATTGTTGTGTCAATGTTACCACCACACAATGGTAAAACAACCCTAAAAACACAGCAGACAGTACTTCAGCAGTTTTCAAGCGCATGAAATACCTTCTTACACATTTAAAAGAATACTTAATATGACCACAGCAAACTTAGGTGTCAGAATTACTCAACATACTCCTATAAATGAGAAAGGTGATGCTAGATAAATTAAACATGACACATGCCTGATATTGTTTAAACATGCAGGTACTTAAAAACTTGAAAAACAGAACTCCAGTTTGCAATATACAGAATGTTCGAGAAAGAGTGCACACATTTAAAATATTTTTATTGAGAAAATAAACAGAGCTAGAAGAGTGCGGTTTTCATCACATCACAGCGAATCTGTCCATGTTTTACATACGATATTTGTTATATGGAGCGCGCATGACTATGCGCATGCGTCAGTTGAGCGACAGCTGCATTACGGAAACCACTCGGCAGCTGTCAAGAATGGCGTTCGATCAGAAGAAGGTTGCTTGAGTGTGGTGGATGGCAGAATCAAAATCTGTTACCGCTGTGCAAAGGAAATTCAGAACGATGTATGGGGCACCTCCTTCTCGTAAAAGCTTTCTGAGATGGGTGGAGCAGTTGAAGGCAAGTCCCGGACGGCCACCCACGTCACCACGTGATGTTGAAACCATACCCGGGAAAATCTGTGCGAAGAGCGAGTCAAGAACTCAGCATCCCACGATCCACGGTTTATGATGTGTTTCACAAACGATTAAAATGTTGTGCGTACAAACTCCGAATTAAGCAACAACTAATACAAGAACCGCATCGTCCATTCTGTGGATGGAATCACGTCTTAAATGTGTGCAGCGCTTTCCGGGCATTTGAATACGGGATGGACATTGTGTGAGCAACAGAACGCTCAGGTCGAAGTGCAGTGAAATGGAGAAAGGTAAGAAAAAACTTTCTCAGTTGCTGTTTCATGTGGTGAAAACTGTACTCTCCTAGCTCTGTTTATTTTCTCAGTAAAAATATTTAAAATGTTCACTCTTTTTCGGACACTCTGTACATGTTTCACAAACACAGTATTTCGATTTTGACGCCCCTTTGACTTTGATGTTCGTTCATTGCAAATACAAATCTGTAGCTATGAAGCTCATCAGCACATGTAACACTCAACAGCCATACATTACACTTCCATGTGTTTTATTAATTGCTGTATTAAAAATAACACAAATGAAATTTACGTCTTTGCTCTTGTACCAATTTTTGTAAAATGTGCTTTGTCTGAGAAATATATTAAAGTTAAATGCATGATGCTCTGTATCAACAGGGTGGACATGAGCTCCATGGCTTCTCAAGCTTAGTTCTAAACAGAGGTGTGTTATCAGCTCTTTGAGAACCCCGAACAGTACCCACTGGGCCCCAAATCAGTTTGCTTCCAGAAAATGAACTCGGTGTATTTAGATTGCTGTTTTCTGGGTTGTTTTCTGTGTAGTCTGGTAGATATTTGCCAGTGCTTCAAACGTACTTGCTGCCTCCATCATCATACTTTCCACCACGAGAACCTCAAATCCTGTATATTCAGTCTACAGCCCATAACCTCACCATGGATCATCCTCTGTGTGTGTATTATTACACGATGCGTCTGTTAAAGTTTTAGTACCACTGACCTCTTTCCTTTAAGCTCGTCAAGGTGTCCTGCAAGGATTGCAGCCAGTCCAGCAGCTCCTGCCCCCTCTACCACACATTTTTCCAGTTCAACCAAACGCAGGATTGCAATCGCAATCCACTTTTCTTCCACCACAACCTGTAGCACATAAAAGCTTATTAATGGAATACGTTCCTACTTGAGGAACTGATAGTTGGTCACCTAGTCAAGAATTTCCCTGCTATTTGTGGAACCAACAACGTAAGATGTCGTATAGTGAGGGGTAGAGATGGTGTTGAAATGGGGAGATAAGAAATGCATAAACTATTTTCCCGAGGAAAGCTCTTGGAAGGTGGTCACTTGGAATATCAAGGGGGTGGAAGGATAATATTCAGATGGGTTGTAAGGAAATTGGTAGTGAGGATGGGAGGCGATTGGCACTGGCTCAGGATTATGCCCAGTGGAAGGCTTTTTTGGTGTTATCAATGCTGAACCAGAGACAATAAGTTTAGAAATGGTATGTGATTTCTCAGTTAACACTGTAGCAGGTAATAACATTTGCTACGGCTGCTCCACTCATTGACAAAATGGTGAGATATAAATTGTAGAATGATGAAGCATGGATTTGCTGAAACAGTCCTTATTACAATATAAAATAAGTAAACACACAACTATTAACACTATATAAAAGACACTATTGCCATACGCGTTTCAACTTCAAGAGGTCATCATCAGTGGCATCAGGGAAATTAATTTTTTAATCAAATGGTTTAAACTGGATTTAGAAAATAAATAATGAATAGGGTATTTAACAACATCTAGTGCAGTATCGTTTGAAATACTTTTGTTAAATATCCTATTCATTATTTATTTTCTAAATCCAGTTTAAACCATTTGATTAAAAAATTAATTTCCCTGATGCCACTGATGATGACCTCTTGAAGTTGAAACGCGTATGGCAATAGTGTCTTTTATATAGTGTTAATAGTTGTGTGTTTACTTATTTTATATTGTAATAAGGACTGTTTCAGCAAATCCATGCTTCATCATTCTACAATTTATATCTCACCATTTTGTCAATGAGTGGAGCAGCCGTAGCAAATGCATTATAACCGACCATAGGCACAGCCAGCCCATCCGCTAATGTCGATTCGATAGGCGTGTAAACTGGTTTACCGGCCTTTAGTGCTCTTGAGAAGCTTGCACATCGTTCAGATTCTACGCCCTACAAAGGAGACATAACATGAAACACCAAGCTGTTACGTAATCTTGTCTATTAGATGTGAATTAATGTCAGACGAAGTGGTCATGGCCTTTCTAAAACAAATCCCAGACTTTGCTTGAAGGGACAGAGGCAAAAGTCACTGTAATTGTTTGTAATATGTTATTCAGTGATTATGTACCAATTACTAAAGTTATTTTGATTAAATAATAAAGATTATGAAGAGTGAAACAAACAGTCCTAGTTACACAATACAGAAAGTACTTTGTATTTTCCATTAAACTTCCAGTCAGAGTAACATACAAAAGATACATTTATCCCAAATGAGAATTAAATCAGTCTCTTATCTATGAGCTAAGTTAGTAAAGTGACAGACTATTGACTGGATGGTTGGGGTTCAGTTTGCAGCAGAGCAGGGATTATCCTGTTTGCTACCACATCCAGACCATCTTTGTATCCACCCAGCCTCCTACCCAATTCCTCAGGACCAGAATGTTAAAGTTTGCAGTCACTTTCATCTGGTATCAAGATAAAGAATTCATGTACATTTATATCTAATTCCACTACATCTTAATGTCATGGTGCTTCATGAAGCACCTAGACAACTTTGTCTTTACTTTTAAAATTAGTACATGTTAAATTACAAATGTTATGAAATCTTGTTAAAGTGTTAGTAGAAATCATGTTACTCACAATGACAGTCGTTTTGGGATGTAGCGTCTTTATTGCGAGAGCCACTCCTGCAATGAGACCACCACCACCAACAGGCACAATTACTGCATCCACATCGTTGACCTGATCAGCGATCTCCAGACCAAGTGTACCCTGACCAGCCATGATATGTGGATGATCGTATCTGCAATATCACATTACATTTCCACTGCACTCCATGACAGCCATCTGAAGAACATATCCTGCCTTGAATCTATAAGGAGAATGAGTTTCTTCAAGCACCTAGTACCTTAATCGGTATTACCTTTCACGTTCCGGATGTTTTTAAAGAGAAGGACCCAGTAGCAATTTAATCTGGAGTAGAGGAAGTGCTACTACCTACTTTAAGAACGCAAAACTATGGCTGATGTGCAGGAAATGCCACTACCAATTACAATGGAGGCATAACAAATGGATGAAATGGTATTACTTAGTTTCTGAACACCGAGTGATGGAAGTATGTCCATTACGTTTTGTGCGGAAGAAATTCTACCACCAAGAAATTAGATTAGACAAAAGTTTGAGTTCTTAAAGTATTTTCATATGCTGCAGTGTGGCTGAGTTTCTTGTAAACTAATCGGTACTACTTACCCATTGATATATATGAGATCTCGCTCTTTTGAGAGTTGCATGGCAATTTTCTTTGCCTCTCCCATGTCCTTCCCCTGCACAACCACGCTGGCTCCATGTTGTCGACATGCCCTGATCTTCATGATGGGAGCTACTACAGGCATTACTACTGTCACAGGAATGTTAAGTTTGTGACCATGGTATGACAGTGCCAGTGCATGATTCCCAAGGGATGCAGAGATCACTCCTTTCCTCCTCTGTTGATCTGACAGCATGATGAGAGCGTAGCATGCTCCTCTTTCCTTGAAGCTAAAAACAGACAAAATACATTGTACTCTAGCTGTATCTGTAAGACTACGATATATCTCGTGGTGGTGAAGACATCCACAGTGGTCGTCTGGGTTGGGATGCTGTGTAGACGTGTAGGTGGGCACCAGCGTTTCAGAAGAACACCTGTTCTTTATCTATTAATCTATTAAAATATATTGTACTGAAATAACTAAAGTGTTTAATTATTATAGAATATTATTTATATCTCCATTGATAAAATAGACAGTTACTGAAAGTGCTTATGAATTATACTGAAACAGTAAAATTGCTGATTATTTTTGACATTGTTGTGAATATATAGTCCATGGGGTCCGCAGTGGCCGCGCGGTCTGAGGCGTGGGCCTTGTGCCGCTTGGTCGCTGGGACCGTGGGTTCGAATCCCACTCAAGCCATGGATGTGTGTCCGCTTTTTTCTGTGTTGTGCTGTCCTGTGCACAGGTAGAGGCCTTGCGACGGGCCGATCCCTCGTCCAAGGAGTCCTACCGAATGTCTATAGACCAAGCCAACGAAAAGTTGGGACCCGTAGTGCTCAGGAACTTGAAGAACGGGTCGTTTCCAGTATCCAAGTATATAGTCCCATGTACCAGTGTTCTGTTATGACACTGTGTAATTATCACTTGAAGCATGAAGGAGCAATAGACATTTGTGCTTTCTGAACTTTAAAACTCATTACGATTGCCTAGCAAAGTGAACATTACACAGTGTTTGTCATGTTTGACTGTAAAAGAATGGCTGTTATAATTATGAGTATGTGGATAGGTACTTAGTTATTTACTTTGTCAGGCAATTACTCTGTTAATTAGTTACTCTGTTAAGTAGTTCCTTACTTTTGCTATGAGTTAATCAGAGTCACATACACAGAGGCAGTTAGTTAATTATTTGGGCAGTAAAGTATTTAGTTACTTATTTTTTCTGTTAAACGGTTATTAAGTAGGTAGTTAAGTAGTTATTTATTTTGTTAGTCAGTTAAGCATTTGTAGGCAAATAATTGTTTACTTCGAATGTCCGTGAATTAGGCGGACAGTTCATTCGGTAGTGTATGTAGGTAGTTTAGTAGTTAATACTTAATTTGTTAATCATTGAGGGATACTGACACTACTGATACTTATAACAGACCTGCCTGTGTACTGAAGGAAATCCTTCTTGAGGAAAACATCCATTCCTGTCAGTTCAGATAGATGGGATTTCTGAAAATAAATTAATGGTTAATGAACAAATTAGTGTCAATACTGCTCCGTATTTAGCCTTCTCCTTTCTACAGAACCACGAGAATGCTTCATAATGACACCGTACTCTGTCCCCTCAGTGGCTGATAAACAGTAGTAAAGTATGACTCAGAAATATCGATATTTTTAGAAATGTTTGTAGGACAGTTTGACTTTTAAACTCTGATGAGAGCTGATAAGAGTTGGGCACAGCTAAGTGGATAGCAAAGGTTATCTTAGGACACATAATAGCTTTATATACTGGACTCCTATGTAGTGACCTTGAATTTACCATTCTGTCAGTCAATGATCATTAATGTAAACATATAATTAAATTAAGTAGTAATTTCATATACAGTAGATTCCGGTTAATCGGGGCAGCTGTTTATTTGGGACAAATATTTAAGAACAAAAACAAAGCGATAAAATAACCGGAATTTGCTTCGCCTGTTTGGGACACCATGCCGTTTAATCGGGACATTGAGTGCTAGATGGCGTGTTGTGGCGTGTGGCGTGGAGGAGTCAGTGAGTCATCGCTGATTCACTCAGTAACGAACACGTGCGTATTCAGACAGTGTAGCAATAAGCAGCTAGACCATTCAGAACTGCTTTGTTCACTGTGGTTTTAAGCATTCAGGCTTGGAGATGCCAGATACGACCGATAGTGAAAATGACGCCATTTTGGAAGTGCAACACGTTAGAAACTACGAAGAGTGTGCATGCATCGAAAATAGTCTTCAATATTACAATGAAAATGCAGATTATGAGGACGCAATTGTTAAACAAATTGCAACAAACACCAAAAGACATCAGAAGACCAGGGAAGTGATGAGGACGACACACCTGAGCTTCAGCGAGTGACTAATCAGGATGCCAAGAAATTTGTTGCTGGATTACGACGCAACTTCATGCAGGAAGGCAATGAAGGCAGTTCTGAATCTGCACTAGATACCTGCGCAGATTTTGTTCATTTGCAGTCAATCGAGAGAACACGGCAGGGGACACTTGATAAATTCCTCGAACATCATTAACTGTTAAGAACTACATACATTAAATTGAAATTGTTTTTAGTGTAAATATTTGTCTCTGATGTGTACCATTTTTTACAGAATTCATTTACAGTATGTTGCTCAATAAATCATCTCAATAAATGGGAGTTTGTCTTTTAGTTTTAAATCTTTTTAACTCTTTACGTGGAAGTTCGCGTAATTGGGGCAGCCGCTTAATTGGGCCAAAGTGTTCAAGTCCCGATGTGTCCCAATTAACCAGAATCCACTGTATTGGATTATAACATGTTTTGTCTATCATGTGTGGTTTCTCTCTCTTCCACATGCACGCACTCACACACACAAACCTATGCACAACATATTTCATCCATTCAGAGTTTTCAAATAAAATGTCATTTTTTAATGTTACTGAATTATTGAAAATCCGATTTTATTGATGTACTAATTTATAAATAGCACTTGACCCTTTGATAATG